TTATCTTATTAAATACTAATACTTAAATTTAAAAATTAATAATATTAAAATATATAATTAATTTTTAAATTTAAATATTAATATTTAATAAATTGAAATTTTAATTTTTAAATATAAATTAAAATTTCAATCATTTTTAAGAACTAATACATACCATTTTTTATATATTTACTTATATTGCTTTTGAAAAATATGATAAAATATAGAATTTTTTAAATAAGATTATTAATTAAAAATAAATGAATAATAACATGATTAAAAAATATTGTTTAACTTAAAAAATAATAAAAAAGACAATTAATTTAATATAAATTCAAAGTTAAAAAATTAGAGTTATTTAACAATTAAACTTCAGGCGGCAAAGCTGGAAGGGCAACAAAACCATACGGATGCTATTATAAGAAGCAAAACTTTCAGAGTTCCACTGACATCTCTTGTACATAAAAATTAAAGAACAACGATGTAACTTGTAATCCTACAAACATAAACTATGAAAATTTTACATTGAAAAGCACTTTGAGCCCTGACGAATGTATCAAAATTCACAGCAGCATGCAGACCATCATAAAAGAAAATCCCACTTGACAATGACCCAAAAAGGTGCTGCTTCATCATTCAGTATGACACACATGGTCCTCCTCCAGGCAGGACGAAGATCCCAGATCATTAATCTTTGCAAGATTCAAGTTTTAATCATGTAGTCTTAAAATTTAACTCTATAACTTCAATAAATCTGAAATTATTGCTCTATGCAGCTTCAACATCTGAATCTTCTAGTCCTTCTTTATAAAGTTCAAAGTCCTCAGGGCTCCATCTACAGATCAAATGAAGCCGAAATGTAGCCATCTTGATCCCCAACAAGCGCTGCAAATTAGTGAAAGGAGCAAGGAACTTCAGTTCTGATGACCAATACCCAGAAAAAGAAGCAAGGGTAACTTTGTTTTAGTACTTTTAAACCCAGTGAGATAAAAGTGAGGACTTTTCCCAACTTTTTATCCAACAGAAAAAGAAAGTTGACAACAGTTGTATTGAAAGACGACAATTGAAAATGTTAACATCCACAAGCTACCCAAAGCCAACAAACATTGTTGGTTCATAAAATGCCATTTGGCAGGTGCCTTGAGCATTAGTAAACTTCCCTTGTCATAATCATGTCCAGTATCCCTCAATATACAACTATTATAAATGGTAATGAAGATAATATAAAACCAATACAAACCAGTATCCGAGCAGACTCAGGTGACAAAGGTTTTCCCTCTTCACAGACAACAAAGTCTGAAACAAGTTCTATAACACCTACAAATGAGGGAAAACACCAAAATGTTACATTCAAAGATCATGGATGCAAATATGTATCAAGGAGATGGAAAAATATAAAGCACCTTTGTTCAAGCGAACAGGCATCCCTTGCTTGCGCAAAAATGGTTCCATCTCATGTGTGAATTGTTCTAGAGGGCCTTCTGGAAGTTCAACCTAGAAAGGAATCAGAGCAAATGAATGTACAGATGAGAAGACATGTGTGATGTATGAAAAATCTAAAATGGAAGATAAATAGACTAAAGAGATATCTAAAGGACATCATTTCTTAGCAACAAGTGAAATGTATAAAACACCATGCACTTGCATGTTAGTCTAATGAGCCAAAAAATGGACAAGTAAGGAAATCTGTTTTAACAAAACCTTTTCTGTTGCAATGCTTCCTGTCCTTGCAAAGTCATAGTCTTCATATTTATTGAATAAGCTGCAACAGAATAACATAAGAGACATAAAATAAGAATTGAGTAAAAAAAGAAGAAGAGAAAGAAGCTCAAAACTAATATCATAGCAAATGAATTTAAAGCATTATGATGAAATAAATGTTCCAGAGCCAGCACACTTGGGATTCACTAACAATCTTGCAGAACTGCTGGAAGGATTTGAAAACAAGTAGTAGAATTGTTAGGAAAAGAACATAACCATTGATAAATCCATGTAGAAATTAGAAAATCTATGTAGAAATTAGAAAATCTGATCCTTAGAGGACAGATATCCATATTCTCAACGGAAAGGAGACAAGGAAGGAATGGGGAAGCGACGGCAAGAAAACCAAAAGAGGGTAGAATTCCTATGATAACCAAAACTACAAGTATTGGGCCTCTCCTTCTATTCCAAAATTCCAAAGAGTAAAAGAAGCAGAAATGCTATAATGTACTGCAGAGATTGCTAAAAACTAAAAAGTTACCTCTCCACTTCTTCCTTTGGCATGTTGGTCAGAAAAAGTCCAGAATCTCCACACAGTAGCTAGAGAATACGACAAAAATAAGACAGTTGAACAAAATTCTAAAATTCAAGTGAAATTTTTTGTTTCATAAAGAAGCATACTTTGGAAACTTTATAGATGCCTGGTCTGATCTCATCAGCAGCAGAACGTCCCAAAGCAACCTGCATCACTTTATTTGATCCAAGGAAAAATCTGAAAGGAATAGATTCATAAGAATAAGGTATCCTTCCACATACCAGTCTCCGAAAAACAGTGCCTGTGAAAAATAAAAGAAACCATAAAACTTGATAACTTCTCATTGCTCCATTCCAACAAATTCATTTTTTCTAAACAATAACAAGTTAAGTAAACATTATTAATCAAGCAATGCACCAACAAAATCTCTATGATTCATGACCAACCTGCTAGTTGGTTTGAGCTGCTCTCTGAACTCCTTGAACTTGAGATTTCTCATGTTCTCAAAAGAGAAGACATAGACAGAACTGTACTTCTCCACAGCCTCCCTTATTGCATTTACTATTGCTTCTTTATGTTCCCTACCCTTCTTCTTGGTCTTCGATAATGTAACTGCAAATGCATGCAAGCAAATCAATTTTAAGGCTCCATAACAGAAAGCAAATACCTTTACATCTTATAAATCACTGTACCAAAATGCACATCCTCCGAGTAAATTGTAAGAAACCCAAATACCCATTTTCTCAGCAACCAAAGAGAATGCAAAATCACACCTTCAGAAATCAAATTCAATGGTTAATAAGAAGACAGACCTTCTCTATTACGCTTGGACTTGGGCATGTTGGAAGCTAAATTTGATTACAGACAGCAACAATGGAACTACTAAACTCTTACCAGCTCCTGCAACTCCCTAAACCCTTCCAAAGTTTGAAGCTTTACCCCCTCTCTCTCGGTTTAGGGTTTGGAGATTTTATATGGAGCAGAGGCAGACTATCATAATTTAATTCGGGTTGGCATCGGTGGGTAGTTCCTGGTCTACATATCGAGCCCAACTTGTTCAGGGCTTAGGCCTCATTTATTAGTATTTGGATATGTATTAAAAATTTAGAAAATTATTACAATTAAAAATTTTCAAATCAAATATTAAATATAATTCATATCTAATATGTATTTGAAATTATTTATCCCTAATTAATTTTATCATGGCTACTAAAGTTGTTAAATTTTTATCTTAATTTTGTGGTTAAGAACAGTTGATAATTGATAAAGAGTAGAGATATATTTATCTTGATTATTTATCATTTTATTTTCAAAAATTGAGATTTATTTATTTATTTTATCATATTTATTATTTTTTTGTCCGAAAAATTTGTCGAATCTTAACCATTAAAACTAGAGAGATGAATGACTAAGACTTTTGTGTAAATATAATATATAAAATTTATGTGTAATTGAATCTTTATTCATTGATAAACCAACTAATTTTTATTATTTAACAAATTAAAATTAGTTTATAAATAAATACTTTGAAATATTATAACTAACTGTTTAAGAGGAAAACAATAAATTGATAAAATTACTGGTAAAATTGGTGGTGTTTCCTCATTCCTCAGCACTCATTTGATGACAAGATTACTTTGTAAACCAAACTAATAAATTGGTGAAAGTTTAGGGGTGCAAGTGTTTGAATATCCCTAAAGTAAAAGAGAAAAGCGAAACTAAAGGTCCGTGACGCCCACTCAACCGTCATCGCACGTTAGCCATCCCTAGAAGTTAACCCAACCCAAACCCACACCTGCACATGATTCACTTAGCCAGTAACAAGGCGCGTCTCTCTCACCTTCCCTTCGACTTCAGAGTATTCCCTGGGGCGTGGTTCAAACTCGCCAAAAAAATGCTTGAAATTCATGACCTACCCTCCATGCAATACCAATAAGATGGTTATTTAAATAAATAGTTTAATTAATTTAATGATTATTTTTATTTATTAAAAATAAAAAATATTGAATTTGAATTATATGATATGCAAGAGAAATAATTATTTTTTATTATGTAACTAAAATAAAAAATAATTTATTCATTTAAATAAAAAAATTAAAATTTTTTGAAATATAAATTTGAGTTTGATTAAAAATAGGTGTTAAAAGAAATTTTTTTAAAGTAAAATTTAATATAATTTTATTTTAAATCAATTAAAATTTAATGAAATTTTTATATATAAAAAAAGCTAATTAAAAAAAAAAACCATTCGCATGCAGTTCTATTACGAAAGTCGTCATCTCCAATTCCAATCTCCTCAATGGCGCGTGATTTACCGGAACCATCACCCAAATTACAGTTTCAACTTTCAAGAAAAAAAAAAAAAAAGGGAAAATAGCAGTGCCTTTTATCGGATTCGTCGACTCATTTCTACGCTACTCTTTTCAATTCCCTCTAAATCTCTCTCCTCGCCCTTCCTTCCGATTCTCTCCCACTTCAGATCTTGCCGGTATGTTCCTGTCACGGCGTTATTATTTTTCCGTCGAATTTCTCTGTATTCTCTTTTTTTTTTGGTCATTTTGGGTTGTTTTCTGGGAGAAGGGAGGTTGGAAAGTTGAATTTTCTCAGCTTCTTTTTCTTTCTTCGAATTTTCAATTTTTTGGGCATTTCGTGTCTTCGGGAGAGAAGGGGTGTTAGAAAGATGAATTTTTTAAGTTCCAAATCTTCTGGGTCTATCCAATTTTTTTTTTTTTTCTAGGGAAACAAACAGGCTGGGAAGAAATGATTGAGTGAAATTTGATTTTTGAGAAATTAATTAATGTTATTTAATTAATAATTGTAGTGTAGATCTCAGATGGATGAAGTCTACTTCCCATGTGGCTGATATTCTAGCTTCATGTTCTTGTTTTATTAAAATAATGGTTAAGTAACTGCACTATCGCGTGATTTTTTTGGCCTAACCACGTTGTTTGGTGTGTTTGAATATATACAAATCTCTATCTAACTTCCTTTCTGTTTTTGTGTTTATGTTTTATCAGGAGCAGTTTGGTATCTCCAACTAACTCCAGCTTTCGATCCAGATTTGGCAGGTGCATACTTTGCCATTGATAATTTCAGGCAGCTGCTTTGAATTTTGATTTTTTTTATGTTTTTTGGGTTGCCCCTCAATTGAATTTGTCTTCTTTTAGCTATTATATGATTCAATTGAGTATTGGATAGCCTTTTTTAGCTGTTTGATGATTGAATTGTGTAGTAGATAACTTATTTGAGCAATTGACTTGTAAGGTACAACTTTGTTGTAGTTGTATGCGATTTGGAAACAAGGAAGAGGAAACATTTCCTTTATGTTTTGCATTTTGATTGTGGATTGGGAAGTTTGAATTCCCCATTCTTAGATTGCTCTTTTTGATGTTTCTGTGCTTGAATTTTGAAGCCATCTTGGGATTACCTTCAAGCAATATAGCTTTCCTCTTTTGTATTTATAGCATTTGGAGTTGTGTTTGAGCATTTGTGTGATGGGAGGGGTTCTGTTGATTGATGTAAAAAGGATGTCTTATAGAAGTCTGGAATTTTGCTTTGGAAGTATATTTTCCTGGATTTATTCTCTTAGGAGCTTGAAAAAATGGGGGTTCATTATGTCGTGATGTTTGGTATGGAGAAACTTCAATTATCTGTACGGTGCTCAAAAAAGGTGTATTCTTGCACTGCTAAAGAGGAGAAGTGTATACTGATAGCTAGCTTTTATGGCAGATCTCACAGTATTTTGGATCATACCCCAGTTTCTAAGTGCTTTTACCAATTTAAGAACTAGACTTTAGTGTTATTATTTTTATTTTTTAAGTGGTGTGAAGGGCAAAGGTTGCGTGGTATTGGAAACTGTTTTCTTGTCATTGAGATTGTTCAATGTCTGGTCCGTCTAGTGCCTATGACTATTCTGTGTGTGCCAGTTTGAATTAAAGTTTCATGGTTTGAATTAAAGTTTCATTTTTTGTATTTTATTTGGATGTGTTGAAGGCATGTGTTTCTTACTGTGGGCTTTCAGTTTCCCACTCCTCTTTCTTTCTTTCTTTCTTTTTTTTTTTTTTTTTTTTTTTTTTGAATTTACAATTGAAGAGTTTATTTGTTAATAAAATTTATTTGGAAAATATTCTTTGATACATTTGGAAGGCCAATAGGACTGATGGATGTGAACCTTGAATGTTACATTCCTGCAGTGAGGATAACAGCTGCTAGGAAAAATCTGTGTTATTAGTTTTGCAGAACTTGAATTTTGATTGTTGGAGCTCATGGACAGGGATAGGCATGATAGCATAGGTATCTAAGGATGGGTAGAATATTAAGAAGGCATAAGTTTGTGGCAAGTTAGATGCAGTTATTAGAGCCAATAAACACTACAGAGAGAAGAAAGAAAACAGGAAAAAAAGGAGTGTGCAGTGGTGAGGGATGACCTGTAATGATGTCCCATAAAATGAATACAAGAACAATTGAGATAAAACTTAATTATAACCATGCCACTCCAAAATGCCTAAATAATATGCTGTTTTATTAATGTATAATCTTTTGCGGATAACAGTCGGCCTCTCATCTTGTATCTGGATTTGAAGTTGTTCACAGTCACAAGATATTGCTGTGTTGTTTTCAGGTTTAACTTGGAAATGGCGAAAGGTAGCAGAGTACGGTACAGATCTTCTTCCCGGAAACTCAGGCCAACTCCTTACTCGTTGCCCTCTTGTCGCCAGGTTATCTCAGAGGATTTGTGCCTTAAGAACTGTTCCAGTCCATTAGATAAGAAGGACTGGGAAGATGCAACGTGTTCTGTGTGCATGGAGTGCCCACACAAAGCTGTTCTTCTTCTGTGTTCCTCCCATGACAAGGGTTGCCGCCCCTATATGTGTGGAACTAGCTTTCGATACTCCAATTGTCTTGACCAGTATCAGGAGGCCTATACTAAAGCAGTCTCTTCAAATCATGGACTACCATTGAATAATTATGTTGATAATCCAATTATTGGACAGGGTACCACTGGGCCTGTTGATAAGTGCAAAGTCACACAGCTTGCATGTCCACTTTGCAGAGGCCAGGTGAAAGGTTGGACTGTGGTTGAACCTGCAAGGGAGTATCTGAATGCAAAAGAGAGAAGCTGCATGCAGGATGACTGCTCTTTTGTTGGAACTTTTAAGGAGTTAAGGAGACACATGAGAGCAGAACATCCATCTGCCCAGCCACGTAAAGTAGATCCAAATCTTGAACAGAACTGGAGAAGGCTTGAGCGTGAGCGTGATAGGGATGATGTGATCAGCACAATAAGGTCAACCATGCCAGGGGCAATGGTTTTTGGAGATTATGTGATAGAAGGAAACCGTCATGGTTTTGACTCAGATGAAGAGGATGATGTTGATGCAGATGCTGCAACGAGGAATGGAAATATTGAGTTGAGTGTAGATCGTAACTTTGTGAACTTTTTTCTTCTATTCCAAGCATTTGGGCCATCAGGTAATGACCTCAGTGGACGGCTAGGGCAAGCTGGGAGGAATTTCCACCATCAAGATGAGAATACTGGTGTCACTGTCACCCATAGCATCTCTCCTGTTGTTGGTCTGGGTTTCTCAGATGAAGACAATGACAACGCAAGTAATAACAATGAAGATGATGATGGTGGCATCTCATTAGTTAGTCGCCTCCATCGACAAGGCAGGGTTCTTCTAGGACGATCAGGTAGGAGACGTAGACGCAGACAAGCCAACAGAAGTCAAAGATGAAACAATGGTGACTATAAAAAAGGAGGGAGAATTGGATAAGTTTGAATAGAGAGATAGTTAGGGAAATTAGGTAAAACACAAAAGATTAGACTCTGGCATCGATTCACTTCTCATTCATTTCATAGCTGTGCAAAATGGGAGGAGGAATGATGGATGTTTTCCCCTTTCATATTGAGCTTTTCCTTCTTTCCTCCTTATGGTGTATTCATCTATCCTCTAAGTTAAATATGTAAGTCTGTAACTTGTTTGATTTGACCTTTTTCATTCATTTATCATCCATTCTTGTGCATCTAGTCTAGTCAGAACAAGGAAACGCCAGCCGTTTTTCCTTGAATACAGGGGAAAGGTTCAATAACGCTCTGTATGTATCAATTGTTGTTGCTTTGTTTTTCATCTTGAGGAAGAACAGTTGTTAATATTTTGCATAATTTATAGTACTATAAAATCTTTCTTTATGAGGGATGGTAATTTTTTTCAAGACCTACAAAACTCCATGGAGATTCTCGC